GCGATTATTATTCATGCGAACTAGTCCATCTTGCGGAACAAGAGCCAACAGGACAGGATTTCTATTTTTATCTTAAACATGTAACGTTACCACCAACGTGACTTTTATAAAAGCTCAAAGATGCTAGGCGAGCATCATTACACAACGCTAGCTGTGTGTCTCAGCGGGTGAATTCACTCAAATACTTTTTCAATTCTTTTGCAGTAAACTTACTATCAATGTCCTCGATGAGGCTCGCAGTCCCTGGCATGTAATTCATTTTGCTGACATTTGGGAGATTATTTTAAACGTAAAGTATCAAGCCATGGACCATTTCAAATGTGTATCCTTGCAGGATGTAACACTGTGGAAGTGCTTCTTCTTCTTTTGTGTTTAATGGCGGTTGGCAAACCAGCTTTTGGTGCATATTCCGCCACCTACTGGGATGGAGTGTGAGGCGATGATATCAAGGGAAATGCTCATTCAAAAAAAAAAAAACCACTTCTACCTATATTTTATTATATAAATTTGTTCTTTTCAGAAAATGAATAAGAGCTCTATAACCTTTATGAGAACTGTTTAACACATCGATGAGGCTCGCAGTCCCTGGCATGTAATTCATTTTGCTGACATTTGGGAGATTATTTTAAACGTAAAGTATCAAGCCATGGACCATTTCAAATGTGTATCCTTGCAGGATGTAACACTGTGGAAGTGCTTCTTCTTCTTTTGTGTTTAATGGCGGTTGGCAAACCAGCTTTTGGTGCATATTCCGCCACCTACTGGGATGGAGTGTGAGGCGATGATATCAAGGGAAATGCTCATTCAAAAAAAAAAAAACCACTTCTACCTATATTTTATTATATAAATTTGTTCTTTTCAGAAAATGAATAAGAGCTCTATAACCTTTATGAGAACTGTTTAACACATTCTGTAATGTCATAGAATTAATGCCGGCAGATTTTAATTCCTCTTCTAACTGTATTCTTTCCCTTTCATATGCCCTACATTTAATCAGCATGTGCTCTACAGTTTCTGGAAGTCCACAATGATTACATTGACCAGATTCATGTCTTCCTATCATCTGGAGTGATTTATTAAGAGTAGAGTGTCCACTTCTCAATCGCGATATAACTGTATCATCCCTTCTATTACCATAAGCAGTTCTTACATGTCCTACTTGTTTATTTATATTATACAAATGTCACCCTTTGTTACCTTTATCCCATCTCTCTTTCGATATCTTTCTGACAGCTACTTTAATTAAACCTTTAATTTCAGATTTACTCAAGGGTATATGTATGTCAATATTTGTGTGCTTAAGAGCCTTGTCTACCTCATTCCCTTCCACTCCAACATGAGCATGCACCCATACAAATCCTGCTATAATTCTCAGTTGCCGTATTCGGTACAAACTTTGCAGTACTTCTAATAAAATATCTTGTCTAGATTCTGATTTTCCACTCAGTATACTTGTGAGTGCAGAATATGAATCTGAACAGATTAGCACTGTTGTTGGTTGGATTTCTTCCACCCACTGTAAAGCTATCTGAATAGCGATCATCTCTGCTGCATAAACTGATATATTATTAGAAGTTTTTTTTTGCATATTTATATTTAAAGTGAGGAATATACAGGTGCATCTCAAAAAATTAGAATGTCGTAGAAAAGTTCATTTATTTCAGTAATTCAACTCAAATTGTGAAACTCGTGTATTAAATAAATTCAATGCACACAGACTGAAGTAGTTTAAGTCTTTGGTTCTTTTAATTGTGATGATTTTGGCTCACATTTAACAAAAACCCACCAATTCACTATCTCAACAAATTAGAATATGGTGACATGCCAATCAGCTAATCAACTCAAAACACCTGCAAAGGTTTCCTGAGCCTTCAAAATGGTCTCTCAGTTTGGTTCACTAAGCTACACAATCATGGGGAAGACTGCTGAACTGACAGTTGTCCAGAAGACAATCACTGACACCCTTCACAAGGAGGGTAAGCCACAAACATGCATTG